ATGGACCTTAGAAACATGAGGTGAGGTACCAACATGTAAGAAACCATAGAAACACTAAGACATAGGGAACTGAAAACACTCTGACCAGTACCAATAAATGGGAAACCATAGAAACACAGACGTAAACAAAGACACAGAAAACCATAGAAATAGGTACAGACATGTAAGAAACCAAGAGAAATAGTGACAGTTAAAACAAACAGGACTATTATCAAGCAACCAGGAAATGCACAAAAAACAAAGCAAATCTTAGGAATTTTAATTGGTACAATAATGTGGAGATAACTGCCCTTCAGATAAATCCATATTCTAGTCAATCTAGTGTGAAGATTTTAGATAAATCAGACTATGACAGCAAATCCAATACTATCCCTATAACGGAGGTGTCAATTATCTTTGTTGGTGTGTTTTAGATCTTGTTCCTCGTGAAAATGTAGAGGCATGGTTGACACACTTACGGAATGAGTTCCCAACAGTGGCCTTCAAGGCTTCCACACAGACACAGGCTGATAACCTGGTAAGAAGAGCTGATATGAAATAAACATATCAAAATGATGATTACATCAGTTAACATGTGTTTTATCTACATCATAATTCATAAGCTGTAAGTTTGGAGACCTTCCTGTCTGAAAAGTGTAAGATTATTGTGAACAGGAAGTAGTTTGGATCCATTTAAAATAATGTTTACTAATGAAAAAGATGATAAGTGTGAGACTAAAATTGCATGATCATTGTTTTTGTAAAGATTATATGTTAAATGTTAAATTCTAATCTTAAATGACCTTCAGAGTCAGAAAAAGGTAACCTTGGCCACAGTGAGTGAAGATGTTTTGAAGTCCAGTCATTGTATAGGAGCTGAGATCCTGATGAAACTGCTGGGTAACTACTGCCGAAGTAAAGACATCAAGACAGCAATACGCGTGGGTGTAGTGGGTAAGTTTGATCATAACATTTGGAGTAGGGAGATTAATATAACAAAGTAGACAGAAGCCATATACATGTGATAAAGACACCCAGGTGAGCTGATACAGAGTATGTTGTCTTGTTATGAGGAAAAGATGTGAAAGCCAAACTATGGTGTCACTTTCTGGTGGTGTTGGTAACAGTTTCAAAATTTCACTTTAAAGTCTGTGTTCAAATCTGTTCTGTAAAAAGTTAGAAATACAATATCAAATTTTGGCGTCTAGCAACTCTGAATATTAGAGATGCTGAGTAGCTGGTTTTTCAAGCTTTCCATTTTGCCCAGTTTCTCATAAAGTACAAGTGCATATATGAACATCTGAACTTACCAAATAGATTACATAAAGTTGATATTTTGGGAACGGCAGCAACAAATCTATTTGACTTGTTATATTCATTTTAGATTAGTCCTATTAAAACAAGTTTGGTGAAATATCCGATGAGTTTCGTCTTCCTCCTTGGGAAGATGGATGTGTTTGGAGTAAAATTGTCATGTTAAGGAATTTTGAGAGTTAAAGAATTTACAGTATTTTCATTTAATGTTATACAATGGATCAGTATTTAAACATGACAACCATATATAGTGCTCACATGTTGTATATGTAAAATTAACTCATAAACTTCATATTTTGGGAGGCTGGGGCAACATAAAGTTTAATGTGTTCTGTATGTTGCTTAAGAATTACCATACCAAGAATTAAGGACATGTGAGACACATAATTTTGCAAAAATAATTTTGTAAATATTAATTGATTATAAGTCTAGAAATCATACCAAAAAAAGTAAAACAATAGATGTGATATATTTAGATTGTTTAAAAAGCATAGAATTCTATTCCAGGATTTCCTAACACAGGGAAGAGCAGTATAATTAACAGTCTGAAGCGATGTAAAGCTTGTAATGTAGGATCACAGCCAGGAATTACCAGGTAACATATCACCTTTCAACTCATTAATTTTTAATGGTCGTTGTTGGCTCTATGCAGCATACACTCACTATATAGACTCAATAAATGACATGTAAATTTAGAACAGGTATAGTCAGATCAGGATGTCATTCTAGGACTTACAAGTCCTTAATACATGGACTGTAGAATTAGGAATTCATGTAAAATAGCAATGATTTTCAACAGATGTGCTATCTTGTTGTTGGTGGCTGGCATTCAGATTTGTCCTCTTTTGCTACATGTATTAAAAAGTTATCTATTTAATGTGGTATATCTGTTGTGATGATATTATTCACAAACACAACTGTAATTTTTCTCGTCTTGTAATATATTTATTGTTTTGTAAACAGCTTTCTGTAGATAAAACAAAATTATGTGCATATGGTAACTGACAATGCTTGATCTCCTCTTATCATCTTCACAGAGCCATGCAGGAAGTGCAGTTAGACAAACATATTAAGCTGCTTGACAGTCCTGGGGTTGTCATGGCGACAGGTGCTAGCGACATGTCTGTGATACTCAGGAATTGTGTTAAGGTAAGACACACTCAGTTAATTGTTCTTGTAAATAACGATTCATTGTTAATGAGATGCACTTCAGGATATTGAAGTGGTCTTCAGCACTGTTTTGAAAAATATTAATTTTATATTTTGTTATTTACCTACATAGCCTGTTTTCCAGTGGTACCAAGAAATACACCTAATTGATCAGTTTTCCATGTGGAATTCTTGTCTTTGCATGATAAAATATGAATAAGATTTGATATAGTGCATGCATTTCAAAACAGATTGAATGATAAGTAACATTTTTTGTCTATGTTCCAGCTGGAAACTTTAGAAGATCCGGTAGGACCAGTTGAGGCCATACTGAAGCGCTGCTCCAAAGAACAGGTTAATTTTCTATTTCATATGATTTACATGTATTTCTGATTACTTATATTACTTGGCAGATAAACTACTATAGGATTGATAAGGACATTGTTAAAACGGGAAATGGTATGTGTATATTGGTGTATGTAAACAAACTCTGGACAGTTTTAATTATTGATCTTGTTCATAATGATATCTCACTAGAAATAAAACTAAAAATCCTTAAAACTCCAAATACAATGCTTGTGGAAAATCCTCGATACATGTGATTACATTATTTGATGAATATATTGTAAAGATTTCCAGCTACAATATATACATGTGTATTTCTATTATTTCCTTTTATAAGAATATAATGCTAGCTGTATATGTAGCTAGTAATTATCCTCTAATGAGGAATGTCTGGGGGGAATATAGGAATTACTATACATGGCGTATGTATGTAAGTTCATAAGTAAGGGCACACTTAACCTTGTCAACCCTGTAGCAGCTTCATTCTTAAGGGTTTTTAATCAAACCTTACATACTCATAAGGGCAATTTTATCTGGTATGACTTCAAATTTTAGTGTTCTACAGACAAGGTCAAGGTCATGTTTAATACTCTAAGAAACCCTTGTCAGCATTCTAACAGCTTCATTTTATGTGCGATTTTCATTTAGCTTAACACTTATACAGGGATCATAATTTTTTGGACATGTTATGTTTCAAGGTTATAAGGTCAGAGTCAAGGTCAATGACAATATTTTAAGAACATCCTTGTCAGTCAAGGTCAAGGTCAGCATCAAAATTTTTAGAAAATCCTTGTAAGCACTCTGCTGGTTGCATTCCTTGAGAAATTTTTATCAAACTTCACACAAGTAAACACTTGCTTAATTGCATCTAAGTCAAGATAGAACAATGAGGAAATTTGTATCTTTTGCCTTGTTAACTTACATAAATAAACATCATTACAAACATCTGTTCCTGTTATGTGAGGTTTGACGGCTGATTTCTTCTATTTCAGATGATGCTCCATTATCGGCTGCCTGACTACAGCAATGCTAATGACTTTCTGGCTTTATTGGCAAAACGATTTGGGAAGTTAAAAAAAGGGGGAATACCCGATGTAGGGAAAGCTGCCAAAACTGTTTTACATGATTGGACATGGTGAGATGGCTGATTTTCCTGACATAAATATGCACTTCATATATATGGTTTTATATATAGGCCAAATTCTTTTCTGGAGGCTATGAATTAGGGTGAAAATTGAGAAAACTTTCTGAGATGTTTCTGTCTTTTGGACTAAACAAATCAATTTACAAGGACTTTGTTAGAAGTATTATTGATTCTTCAGAAACAGATACATAAGGCATGTTTTACATTGTAAACCTGACCTGTTACAGTGGACGGATCACATACTACACACAGCCTCCAGAGCAACATTCCCTTCCAACTCATGTCAGTGCTGAATTTGTCACAACAATGGGCAAAGAATTCTGTCTTGATGATCTACTAGCTCAGGAGCAAAAGAGTCTGCAAGGTAACCATAGTAGTGTTTGTAAGCCTGGTATGACAAAACGCCTTTCAGAAATATACGAAAATGATTGCAATTGATAATGAGTAAATGACACGTTTGCCAAAAAAATTCACATTAAGTATATTTTTATGAAAATTGTTCTGGTGAGTCTGTATGTAGGTAACATCATTTCAGGTATGATGGAAACCCAACGTCATTTCTGTCATATATTTTGAGGAGGTCTTTAAGCAGGTTTGACCATATAATGAATCTGACAAATAAATAATCTTACATTTTACAGGGTAATTTTTTGTAAGAGATATTGTACACACTTATTGTCTGTAGGGTTGGAATCCCGAAGTCACAAACACATGTTGGTAGACTCTCTTGGTGCAGCCAAGGTCGTCATGTCCGAGTCTGACCTCGCGGCTTTAGACACACAGATGGAGAGCGAGGAAGAGCAGGAGGATTTTGACTTTGACGAGGGAGAAGAAGATATGGAGGATTCAGACATGGAGGAAGAGGATGATGAAGATGACATGGTAAGTTTTCTGTAGGCTACTTAGATACTACTTTCTTGTTATGGTAAGTTCTTTGCAGGCCACCAAGATAAAATAAAACAGTTTGTATACAGTAAAATAGGTCTATCTATTTATGTTATGTCTTAATAAGGGCTGGTATATAATTACACCTCAGCATCACAACTGGCGTTTTTAGCTCAGGCAAAATCTTATGAAACAGTAGAAGTACAATTTTTATTGAACATATTTATATGCTGTCCAGTTTACTTTTAATCTGCAAATATTCACTGTTTCTTTAAAATTCATTCTCTTTAAAGTGGTAATTTTATTTTATAGATGATTTTACAATAAATTTTTCTCTTGGAAAATAGCAAATATTGGAAATAACCCTTTTAAGTGCTTACATAACTTTATTGTTACTTCAGATAAAACAGATGACTGTTTCCTTAGATACAAATAAGAAAAAAAATGGAGGTAAGACCCCAAGGAGGGATGAAGGGACAGCAGGAAGAAAATCTGTTGGAGGGTCAGCTGAAAAACGTCAATTAAAGGTCAAAGCCAAGAAATCGAAAGGCGATAAAAAGGAAGCACAAGAAAAACTCACCAATGGGTTGTTACAGCTCAACAAACAAAGGAAACAAGACTTCAAAAAAATGAAGAAACAAAGGAAAAGAGCAGGTGGGTGTTGGTGGGAATGTCATGAATATTCATTCTCTTAGAAAACATTAAAGATTTGTTTTTGTCTGTCTTTCAACAGTTTACATTTACAGGAAACTGAAGCATTTCTGTTAATTAATTTACATGCACAGTTTGAACACCAACAGTGCATCAAAGATATCTACATTCTGATCTGATGGTTAACACATAGTGTGTGTTCAAAATGGTTTTTTTTTTCTCTGTCTTTTTCAGATAAAGTGGCAGGAGAACTTTCTTCAGCTCTGACAGAAGCTTTCAGTTTTGGAACGGATTAGATAGGAAAGACTGTTAGTATTATCTGTTTCTGCAACATGGAGAGAAGATCAACTTGTGGAAGGAATTTATGAATTGTTACATTAAAATATTTCTTAATCCCCCTTTTCTGGTGTTTGGTTTTAAGTATGTCACACATCAAGATAATAAAGTGGTGCACTAAGGTATTTTTTTATATTCAACTACACTCCACTTGAACACCACTGATCTAATTAATATTAATGAGGTTTTAAACAATTGTTCCCTTAATAAATCATTTTCCAGTTTCCAGCTAAGTATCAAGGTTGATGCTCAAAGCTCAAGGCCACAGCTGCTGAGTGTAAACTATATAAATTATGATCCTCTTGAAAAGACAGCCATTTGTAATGATACATCACACATTTGTTCCCTATTTGAGACTGTATTGCACAGGAACTGTTGACCCTATCTCAACATAGTCTATTATATCAACATAGTCTACTGTCTCAACATAGTCTACTATATCAACATAGTCTACTGTCTCAACATAGTCTACTGTCTCAACATAGTCTACTGTCTCAACATAGTCTACTATCTCAACATAGTCTACTGTCTCAACATAGTCTACTATCTCAACATAGTCTACTGTCTCAACATAGTCTACTGTCTCAACATAGTCTACTGTCTAGTAGTGCAGTTTAACGGTAAGCTCAGGTAAATATAAAATATTGTACTATTTAGTAGTGCAGCTTTACGGTAAGCTCAGGTAAATACAACATATTCTACTGTTTAGTAGTGCAGCTTAGCTTTAACGGTAAGCTCAGGTAAATACAAAATATTCTACTGTTTAGTAGTGCAGCTTAACGGTAAGCTCAGGTAAATACAAAATATTCTACTGTTTAGTAGTGCAGTTAACTTAACGGTACGCTCAGGTAAATACAAAATATTCTACTGTTTAGTAGTGCAGCTTAACGGTAAGCTCAGGTAAATACAAAATATTCTACTGTTTAGTAGTGCAGCTTAGAGTTAACGGTAAGCTCAGGTAAATACAAAATATTCTACTATTTAGTAGTGCAGCTTTACGGTAAGCTCAGGTAAATACAAAATATTCTACTGTTTAGTAGTGCAGCTTGATGTTAAATTCAGGTAAATACAAAATATTCTACTGTTTAGTAGTGCAGCTTGATGTTAAACTCAGGTAAATACAAAATGTTCTACTGTTTAGAAGTGCAGCTTTACGATAAGCTCAGGTAAATACAAAATATTCTACTGTTTAGTAGTGCAGCTTAACGGTAAGCTCAGGTAAATACAAAATATTCTACTGTTTAGTAGTGCAGCTTAGAGTTAACGGTAAGCTCAGGTAAATACAAAATATTCTACTGTTTAGTAGTGCAGCTTAGAGTTAACGGTAAGCTCAGGTAAATATAAAATATTGTACTGTGCAGCTTAGTAGTGCAGGTAAATACAAAATATTCTACTGTTTAGTAGTGCAGCTTAACGGTAAGCTCAGGTAAATACAAAATATTCTACTGTTTAGTAGTGCAGCTTAACGGTAAGCTCAGGTAAATACAAAATATTCTACTGTTTAGTAGTGCAGCTTAGAGTTAACGGTAAGCTCAGGTAAATACAAAATATTCTACTGTTTAGTAGTGCAGCTTAGAGTTAACGGTAAGCTCAGGTAAATACAAAATATTCTACTGTTTAGTAGTGCAGCTTAACGGTAAGCTCAGGTAAATACAAAATATTCTACTGTTTAGTAGTGCAGCTTAGATTTAAAGGTAAGCTCAGGTAAATATAGAATATTCTAGTATTTAGTAGTGCAGCGTAGAGTTAACGGTAAGCTCAGGTAAATACAAAATATTCTACTGTTTAGTAGTGCAGCTTAGAGTTAACCCTAAGCTCAGGTAAATACAAAATATTTTACTATTTAGTTGTGCAGCTTAAGTGCTACTGTTTAGTAGTGCAGCTTATTCTACTATTTAGTAGTGCAGCTTAACGGTAAGCTCAGGTAAATACAAAATATTCTACTGTTTAGTAGTGCAGCTTAACGGTAAGCTCAGGTAAATACAAAATATTCTACTGTTTAGTAGTGCAGCTTTACGGTAAGCTCAGGTAAATACAAAATATTCTACTGTTTAGTAGTGCAGCTTAGTAAGCTTAAATACAAAATATTCTACTGTTTAGTAGTGCAGCTTAGAGTTAACAAGGTAAATACAAAATATTCTACTGTTTAGTAGTGCAGCTTAACGGTAAGCTCAGGTAAATACAAAATATTCTACTGTTTAGTAGTGCAGCTTAACAGGTAAATACAAAATAACTGCTCTCAGGTAAATACAAAATATTCTACTGTTTAGTAGTGCAGCTTAGAGTTAACGGTAAGCTCAGGTAAATACAAAATATTCTACTGTTTAGTAGTGCAGCTTAGAGTTAACGGTAAGCTCAGGTAAATACAAAATATTCTACTGTTTAGTAGTGCAGCTTAACGGTAAGCTCAGGTAAATACAAAATATTCTACTGTTTAGTAAGCTCAGTAAATACAAAATATTCTACTGTTTAGTAGTGCAGCTTAACGGTAAGCTCAGGTAAATACAAAATATTCTACTGTTTAGTAGTGCAGCTTAACGGTAAGCTCAGGTAAATACAAAATATTCTACTGTTTAGTAGTGCAGCTTAGAGTTAACGGTAAGCTCAGGTAAATACAAAATATTCTACTGTTTAGTAGTGCAGCTTAGAGTTAACGGTAAGCTCAGGTAAATACAAAATATTCTACTGTTTAGTAGTGCAGCTTAACGGTAAGCTCAGGTAAATACAAAATATTCTACTATTTAGTAGTGTAGCTTAACGATAAGCTCAGGTAAATACAAAATATTTTACTGTTTAGTAGTGCAGGTTAACGGTTAGCTCAGGTAAATACAAAATATTCTACTGTTTAGTAGTGCAGCTTAAAGTTAACGGTAAGCTCAGGTAAATACAAAATATTCTACTGTTTAGTAGTGCAGCTTAGAGTTAACGGTAAGCTCAGGTAAATACAAAATATTCTACTGTTTAGTAGTGCAGCTTTACGGTAAGCTCAGGTAAATACAAAATATTCTACTGTTTAGTAGTGCAGCTTAACGGTAAGCTCAGGTAAATACAAAATATTCTACTGTTTAGTAGTGCAGCTTAACGGTAAGCACTGGTACATACAAAATATTCTACTGTTTAGTAGTGCAGCTTAGAGTAAACGGTAAGCTCAGGTAAATACAAAATATTCTACTATTTAGTAGTGCAGCTTAGAGTTAACGGTAAGCTCAGGTAAATACAAAATATTCTACTTTTTAGTAGTTCAGCTTTACGGTAAGCTCAGGTAAATACAAAATATTCTACTGTTTAGAAGTGCCGCTTAACGGTAAGCTCAGGTAAATACAAAATATTCTACTATTTAATAGTGTAGCTTAACGATAACCTCAGGTAAATACAAAATATTTTACTGTTTAGTAGTGCAGCTTAACGGTTAAAGCTCAGGTAAATACAAAATATTCTACTGTTTAGTAGTGCAGCTTAACGGTAAGCTCAGGTAAATACAAAATATTCTACTGTTTAGTAGTGCAGCTTAAAATACAAAATATTAACGGTAGTGCAGCTTTAACGGTAAGCTCAGGTAAATACAAAATATTCTACTGTTTAGTAGTGCAGCTTAACGGTAAGCTCAGGTAAATACAGAATATTCTACTGTTTAGTAGTGCAGCTTAGAGTTAACGGTAAGCTCAGGTAAATACAAAATATTTTACTGTTTAGTAGTGCAGCTTAGAGTAATCGGTAAGCTCAGGTAAATACAGAATATTCTACTGTTTAGTAGTGCAGCTTAGAGTTAACGGTAAGCTCAGGTAAATAAAAAATATTTTACTTTTTAGTAGATCAGCTTGACGGTAAGCTCAGGTAAATATAAAATATTCTACTATTTAGTAGTGTAGCTTTACCGTAAGCTCAGGTAAATACAAAATATTTTAGTGTTTAGTAGTGCAGCTTAGAGTTAACGGTAAGCTCAGGTAAATACAAAATATTCTACTGTTTAGTAGTGCAGCTTAACGGTAAGCTCAGGTAAATACAAAATATTTTACTGTTTAGTAGTGCAGCTTAACGGTAAGCTCAGGTAAATACAAAATATTATACTGTTCAGTAGTGCAGCTAAGAGTTAACGGTAACCTCAGGTAAATACAAAATATTCTATTGTTTAGTAGTGCAGCTTAACGGTAAGCTCAGGTACATACAAAATATTTTGCTGTTTAGTAGTGCAGCTTATTATAAGCTAGGTAAATACAAAATATTCTACTGTTTAGTAGTGCAGCTTAGAGTTAACGGTAAGCTCAGGTAAATACAAAATATTCTACTGTTTAGTAGTGCAGCTTTACGGTAAGCTCAGGTAAATACAAAATATTCTACTGTTTAGTAGTGCAGCTTAGATTTAACGGTAAGCTCAGGTAAATACAAAATATTCTACTGTTAAGACGTGCAGCTGAGATTAAACGGTAAGCTCAGGTAAATACAAAATATTCTACTATTTAATAGTGTAGCTTAACGATAACCTCAGGTAAATACAAAATATTTTACTGTTTAGTAGTGCAGCTTAGAGTTAACGGTAAGCTCAGGTAAATACAAAATATTTTACTATTTAGTAGTGCAGCTTAGAGTTAACGGTAAGCTCAGGTAAATACAAAATATTCTACTGTTTAGTAGTGCAGCTTAGAGTTAACGGTAAGCTCAGGTAAATACAAAATATTTTACTATTTAGTAGTGCAGCTTTACGGTAAGCTCAGGTAAATACAAAATATTCTACTGTTTAGTAGTGCAGCTTAACGGTAAGCTCAGGTAAATACAAAATATTCTACTGTTTAGTAGTGCAGCTTAACGGTAAGCTCAGGTAAATACAAAATATTCTACTGTTTAGTAGTGCAGCTTAGAGTTAACGGTAAGCTCAGGTAAATACAAAATATTTTACTATTTAGTAGTGCAGCTTAGAGTTAACGGTAAGCTCAGGTAAATACAAAATATTCTACTGTTTAGTAGTGCAGCTTAACGGTAAGCTCAGGTAAATATAAAATATTCTACTGTAGTAGTCAGGTTAATACATAATATTCTACTGTTTAGAAGTACAGCTTAACGGTAAGCTC